GAGTGGTGATCTTACAAGACAGATTCTACTGTAGTAACATGAGAGGTGATCATACAAGACAGATTCTACTGAAGTGACATGATAGGTGATCTTACAAGACAGATTCTACTGTAGTAACATGAGGGATGATCTTACAAGACAGATTCTACTGTAGTAACATGAGAGGTGATCTTAGAAGACAGATTCTACTGTAGTAACATGAGGGGTGATCTTACAAGACAGATTCTACTGTAGTAACATGAGAGGTGATCATACAAGACAGATTCTACTGAAGTGACATGAGAGGTGATCTTACAAGACAGATTCTACTGTAGTAACATGAGGGGGGATCTTACAAGACAGATTCTACTGTAGTAACATTAGGGGTGATCTTACAAGACAGATTCTACTGTAGTAATATGAGAGGTATGAGGGGTGATCTTACAAGACAGATTCTACTGTAGTAATATGAGAGTTGATCTTACAAGACAGATTCTACTGTAGTAACATTAGAGGTGATCTTAGAAGACAGATTCTACTATAGTAACATGAGGGGTGATCTTAGAAGACAGATTCTACTGTAGTAACATGAGGGGTGATCTTAGAAGACAGATTCTACTGTAGTAACATGAGAGGTGATCATACAAGACAGATTCTACTGAAGTGACATGAGAGGTGATCTTACAAGACAGATTCTACTGTAGTAACATTAGAGGTGATCTTAGAAGACAGATTCTACTATAGTAACATGAGGGGTGATCTTAGAATACAGATTCTACTGTAGTAACATGAGAGGTGATCATACAAGACAGATTCTACTGAAGTGACATGAGAGGTGATCTTACAAGACAGATTCTACTGTAGTAACATGAGGGGTGATCTTAGAAGACAGATTCTACTGTAGTAACATGAAGGGTGATCATACAAGACAGATTCTACTGTAGTAACATGAGAGGAGATCTTAGAAGACAGATTCTACTGTAGTAACATGAAGGGTGATCATACAAGACAGATTCTACTGTAGTAACATGAGAGGTGATCATACAAGACAGATTCTACTGAAGTGACATGAGAGGTGATCTTACAAGACAGATTCTACTGTAGTAACATGAGGGGTGATCTTACAAGACAGATTCTACTGTAGTAATATGAGAGGTGATCTTACAAGACAGATTCTACTGTAGTAACAAGAAGAATAGTCTCACATGACAGATTATATTGAAGTGACATGCACGATGGTCTTACAAGACAGTTTTTACTATAGTAACATGAGGGGTGATCTTACAAGACAGGTTCTACTATAGTAACATGAGGGATGATCTCACAAGACAGGTTCTACTGTAGTAACATGAAGAATGGTCTCACAAGACAGATTCTAGATTCTCCTGAAGTGACATGAGCGATGGTCTTACAAGATAGGTTCTGCAGTAGTAATATGAGTGATGGTCTCACAAGACAGGTTCTACTGAAGTAACATGAGCGATGGTCTTACAAGACAGGTTCTACTGTAGTAACATGAGCGATGGTCTTACAAGAAAGGTTCTACTGTAGAGACAAGTGGTGGTCTCACAAGACAGGTTCTACTTCTAAAACATGAGTGATAGTCTTACAAGAAAGGTTCTACTGTAGAGACAAGTGGTGGTCTCACAAGACAGGTTCTACTTTAAAAACATGAGCGATAGTCTTACAAGAAAGGTTCTACTGTAGTAACATGAACAATGGTCTTTCAAGGCAGGTTTTCAAAAGACAGGTTCTACTGTAGAGACATATTGCATTACTGTACTTGATCAATGTGACCTTAATGCTTGTTTAAAAGTTATTAGTGTACTAGATATAACCCCTATACCCTGCTGGTTGTTAGGTTTGTCAGCATGTAGATAGATATATATATGCAAGTCACTGTACTGAGAGGACCTGTGTAGATTATTATTTTGTAGATGATAGGGCTGTCAATAACAACATAATGAGATTTCTACTATAATTATTTGGTCAATTTTCTACAGTAGTTTACGAAATCCTTTTAAGGTGTCATGCTTGTGTTGATAACATACAGACCATAACAATTATGTAAACAAGTGCAGCTCATCGCATCTTTTAACAACTTTGAACTTTCCGATACCTCACTTGGCAACACTTCACTTTTGGTCTTGGTGTTGAGTGTTTTTTCACTGAAACAAGGAAGGTAAGGGTTTTTTCACCAGGTTGAGACAAACCAAAGTTGGAAAATATTGGTACTTACTTCTATCTGATAAATATTCAGTTGTCAGTATAATATAACTGTTGGTACATAACTGGTGAGCCAGTTGTCAGTATAATGTAACCGTTGGTACTTACGGGTAGGCCCATTGTCGCGAGGATGTACAACCCAAGTATGATATACCCTGTTGAAGTGTCATGCCTCTGTGTCCAGGCTATGACATTTCAGTGTATTGACGATATAAAGTAGTCATTGTGTGTTCCCATCATCTTCACCCTCTTTGTAACGGCCTTGTTTGTGGCGAGGATGTACAACCCCAGTATGATATAACCGGTTGAAGTGTCATGCCTTTGTGTCCAGACTATGACACTTCAGTGTATTGACGATATAAAGTAGTAATTGTGTGTTCCCATCATCTTCACCCTCTTTGTACAACCCCAGTATGATATAACCGGTTGAAGTGTCATGCCTTTGTGTCCAGACTATGACATTTCAGTGTATTGACGATATAAAGTAGTCATTATGTGTTCCCATCATCTTCACCCTCTTTGTACAACCCCAGTATGATATACCCTGTTGAAGTGTCATGCCTCTGTGTCCAGACTATGACATTTCAGTGTATTGACGATATAAAGTAGTCATTATGTGTTCCCATCATCTTCACCCTCTTTGTACAACCCCAGTATGATATACCCTGTTGAAGTGTCATGCCTCTGTGTCCAGACTATGACATTTCAGTGTATTGACGATATAAAGTAGTCATTATGTGTTCCCATCATCTTCACCCTCTTTGTACAACCCCAGTATGATATACCCTGTTGAAGTGTCATGCCTCTGTGTCCAGACTATGACATTTCAGTGTATTGACGATATAAAGTAGTCATTATGTGTTCCCATCATCTTCACCCTCTTTGTACAACCCCAGTATGATATACCCTGTTGAAGTGTCATGCCTCTGTGTCCAGGCTATGACATTTCAGTGTATTGACGATATAAAGTAGTCATTATGTGTTCCCATCATCTTCACCCTCTTTGTACAACCCCAGTAAGATATACCCTGTTGAAGTGTCATGCCTCTGTGTCCAGACTATGAAATTTCAGTGTATTGACGATATAAAGTAGTCATTTTGTGTTCCCATCATCTTCACCCTCTTTGTACAACCCCAGTAAGATATAACCGGTTGAAGTGTCATGCCTCTGTGTCCAGACTATGACATTTCAGTGTATTGACGATATAAAGTAGTCATTGTGTGTTCCCATCATCTTCACCCTCTTTGTAACGGCCTTGTTTGTGGCGAGGATGTACAACCCCAGTATGATATAACCGGTTGAAGTGTCATGCCTTTGTGTCCAGGCTATGACATTTCAGTGTATTAACGATATAAAGTAGTCATTATGTGTTCCCATCATTTCACCCTCTTTGTAACGGCCTTGTTTGTGGCGAGGATGTACAACCCCAAACATACAAACAAACTTGTACAACTAAACATACCGTTACACTTCACGTAATTAGGAATGTTTTATCATCTCTTCAGTTTAAATTTGATTAATCAGAGATCGCAGAACTATTTTAAATAGTTCTTTTTGCCATGATGGTAAATGTTCTACGTTATACAAAATGATCACTAATATACTCCCCGAGCTTAAATCGATATAGATTTGAAAAAAACACCTACATGATATATGAGCTAGACATAGCAGGGCCGAGCACGAATAAGTCTTGATAAGGTGGAGCTATAACTATGTCATCATCAGGCCATGATCATGCAGTAGCTGGGGCTGGGGAAGCACAGGAGTGAAATATTAAGATTTATATTCTTTATTACGCTATTTGTGGATGATGTTGGAATCTCAAGTATTTTTATAATGTTGATAATTGACGCAATTTTGCTCCATTAAATTCCTGCTCGGGCACACTGACATTTAATTCCCAGCAGCTGGACCTGCTTTACTCCACAGATGTCACTTATTTATCATAATCACAGGCAATCTCTACAGAAGTAGGGTTCTGCACAAAGCATGTCTCTGTGTGATATCGTTTCTTTGGGTGAACTTTCACTTCATTTCAATTAAACACACTGTTTCTCAGTTATTCTGTCTGGATGATATATTAGGAGTTTTATTTTAATTAAACTTGCTAATAAATTTCCTGAACAGAAATATATGGAAAACATGTTTTCAACACATTGCTCCACCAAATCAGTCCTAAACATTGTGTAGGTACCTAACAAAGTAGACTGGAGTATGACCTTCAGAATGACCTTCAGAATGCCTTCTGTCAAGGTCACACATTTGAAGAAGTATTCAAATAAAGTTTGTACAGTTGATAATGAACTCCCTTTTAATCACCAGGTGGAGCTACTAGTTGAGTGGCCTGTACTGTTTATAATGATCTCCCTTTTAATCACCAGGTGGAGCTACTAGTTGAGTGGCCTGTACTGTTTATAATGATCTCCCTTTTAATCACCAGGTGGAGCTACTAGTTGAGTGGCCTGTACTGTTTATAATGATCTCCCTTTTAATCACCAGGTGGAGCTACTAGTTGAGTGGCCTGTACTGTTTATAATGATCTCCCTTTTAATCACCAGGTGGAGCTACTAGTTGAGTGGCCTGTACTGTTTATAATGATCTCCCTTTTAATCACCAGGTGGAGCTACTAGTTGAGTGGCCTGTACTGTTTATAATGATCTCCCTTTTAATCACCAGGTGGAGCTACTAGTTGAGTGGCCTGTACTGTTTATAATGATCTCCCTTTTAATCACCAGGTGGAGCTACTAGTTGAGTGGCCTATAAAGTTTATAATTATCTCCCTTTTAATCATCAGGTGGAGCTACTAGTTGAGGAGTGGCCTGGAGACTATGCCCACTTTGAGTTGGTAACCTATTCCGCATTTTCCAGGGCGGCCGAGCCAGACATCAAGATGTCTCATGTTGTCGTGGAAACAGGCCGAGCACAACACATACAGTTACATGTGGTATGGACATCATTTATGTAACATTATTAAACAGAACTCAATATTCTCAGTGTCAAGGCCATCTATTAAATAGTATTATACAAATAGATATAAATATTTATCATACAGACTTTAATGAATTGAATGCATTACTCATGTATTTGTTCCTGTCTCAAATCCTAATTTTCCTGGATAAAAAGGTTGGAGAACTATAACAAAAATAAGTGCTCACTAAAATGAAATGTTTTGCTGGCACAACCAGAGGTAATCATTGAAGATCTGGTATCAGTCAATTGCTCAATATCTGTTGGAAATAGCAATGCATATTTCTAAAATTGGGAAATTGTTTTCAATTTTAAACATGTTGAAGACTTACTTCAGTTCACTTAATCACTTTCACCATTTGATGGTAAATTTGTCCACTGCGACTTAAACTGTAACATAAACCTGATAGCCTATATAGCTATTAGGTCTGGTCGGACAAGTGTAGGGAAACCTAAGGATGGATCAAATCCTGGCTGAGATTGTAAGTTACATGTTGTTAAGCCATAACTATCAAATTTCTAATTCCTGTTGTAAATTCACAATATCATTTAACGTTATTGTATGATATATCATTTAATTTTATTGTATGTATACCTTCTAGAAACATATCAGTTTTATGATAAAAAAACATTAGCATGTTGTTTAATTGTAGAAGGTTGGTGTAACCTTTTTATACAGTGTACTATTTACTGGTTCTGCTGATCTGTAGGGCTCAACCTTTAGCCGTACAGAGTTGCCAGGGATAACAGGAGGGCTCATATCTGCCATTGTGCTTCTACTGTCTGTAGCACTGTTTTGTCAAGGGGAGAGAATCCAACATCGCAAGAAGAAAAGAAAAAGGTGCAATTCAGGTAGGTTCTTCATTTATTTTATGTCTACAAAACGAAGCATTGTGCAGAAAAGGAATAGACTGAATTGCTGTTAATTAAATCAAATTCTTCTCAATTCCTTTCACATACGTAGTAGGACGAGGAATAGTGATATAAAGATAGTGCCGTTGCTGGGGCTCGAACCCGCGACCCTTGGCTTTACAGCCCGATGCTCTACCACTGAGCTAAAGGGAAATTGCCTACAGCTGACGCTTGTAAGGCAACCTAATCAATGCACATCTTTTACACTTATATTATTTTGTCAATTAACTTTCTAGTTTATCAGATAAATGTTAACAGCAGGATTCATACTTTCAAATTCTGTATTTCTTAAACACTACAGAGAGATTAACTTCTACAAATATACCTGCATGTTGCTTCAGTGTTAAAAGATATGTTCCAGCGTTCATCAAATACAAAACAATTGTTAATACAGATTTATGTTTGGAAACCAAAGTGTCTGGAGTAAATTAAACTCCCTGTCTCATAAGAGACATGTCAGTTCTCTTAATTATCATAGCATGTCAAAAGGTTGTTAAGAAAAACTATTTAACAAACTAAAAAACATTTTGCATAGTTTTCCACTAGATTAAGATGTAAAAGAAAGTCGTAATTAAGATGGATGACAATACGAAATTTGATGGACAAGCAAATATAATTGATAAGATGTATGCTAATGGAGTTTGATTAATTTAACCACCGAAGACCTTTTACCCAACTAAGAATGTGCAGACTAAGAAATGACACTCTGGTATCACATAGATACTGTGTAGGTAAGGAATGAGCCCGCTACCTACTAAAATACAAAACTAGATTTTTTATTCACTGGGGGGTGAAATGTATAGGAGTTACCATGGTGAAATTGAAACTTTGATGTGACACCTTGATGGAGAGAACTGGCATTGCTCAGCCAGGCAGGTAGTGGAGTGTTTACTTACAAAACATCTCAGGTGTGGACCAGGTAATCAAGGGTAGGGTATCAGGTATACACACCCCTCAGGTATACTCAGGTGTTACTGTCACCGGTCGCTAGGGAACCAAGTGTCTTCATGTGGGTACCACCATCATCCATCTGGAAAATTAATTTTGATAAAATTGAATGAAAGATGTTCACGTTAAATTTTGTTTAGATTAGACTGCAGGTATTTTGTTGTGTAAATATTGAATGGAGGGGGAGATACCCGCCCAATACAGGGGAGTCAGTTGATGACAAGTTAAATAGACAGACCAGGGGGTTATAATAATAAAGGAGAAAACCTAGCTTTCCCATACAACTGACATAAGTAACTTGTTTTAAAATGGTAATTTTTAAATTCTGCTCATGATATGATGAAACCCGAATATTTTAACTTGTGTTTTTTGTTGAATTTCTTGAATACTGTCCCCATAAAACTTGCCATAATGCTGAAGAGAAACCTGTTTGAAATGCTGCAACTTGTTGTCAGGGGATTGTACAGTCAGCAATAACTCAGGCCAGGGGAGATAACCTAATCAATTACACTGTTACTAGAGAAAATTTTCCCTAGGGTATTTTTTTGTGTAATCTGGAAAATGGAGTCGTTAATGTTTCTACAGAGATTTTGTTTTTCCCCCTTTAGTGAAACCAATCATCCAGCAAATAAAAAAACTGAAAAAAAGTCCGGAATAACTGAAAGTTTGTTTTACAGTATTTATTCTAGGTTTTGTAACAGCAACTTGTGGTTTGCAGCAGATCTTTGGCATTATTTCTAGAGTGAATGGGAGTAACTCTGATATGGTAGATGGTGTTTGATTATCAATAGCTACAACTACAGTAACGACATATAATCCCAACAAGTGTTTATATCATTTCTAGTCTTCAGACACAATGAATATACCTTATATTTCCGTACTCTTCTGTTTTGTACAGGCTATAGATGAACACAAGCATAACACCTATCTACCTATAATGTCAGTAAAGAAGTTGGAGTTGCTTCCCCTTAACCTCCATCTGTTAAAATCCTATGAGAGGCATTCTTATTGATTATAAATTTGACTTATAAAATGCAGGTTGTAAGAAGTTTCGGTGAAATCTATACAGGATTTTACAAGAACAAACATACTTGTACAAATGGACAAACCCCAATATAACAATTATCTCCCCCGCCCTTCCAAAATGTGTTTTTAACCGAAATTTCTAGTGATATATGCCTGATATACAAGTTATATGCCTGAGTTACATGCTTCAGGAATTAAAGAGCCTTTTGGTGAAATGTCATCAGATGTAATGGACCTTAATTGAAATCCCCTACATCTTATATCCCTTGGTTCGGTGGTCTGTTTTACGTTTTTACCCTGCGACCCTGTTAAACGGATCAGTGACCGGGGGACTAATTGATCTTTATACTCTGAGAATGAATAAAGAAACCACTGTCCATTTTACGATGCAGTTTCATCAACAAGTGTACAATTCTTGAATCAAAGGACTGCCCTGAGGTGAGGTGATTAAGATGTTGTTAGCGAAGCTTTCAAGTTCAGCATTCTCACTGGAGTAAAATTTAATGGTGTTAATACGCAATTCATCACTTCAAACTCAAGCGTTTCCAGTCTTCACTTGAAAAGATGCCAAATTTTAAATAGTTTGGTTACCTGTCTGTACTGAAAAGAAACGATAACAGCTGAAATGTACCAAAATTTAATGAAATAAGGGAGTCATTCCTGAAACGGCTACTGTAAAGGAACTGATACTGCACAGCCTGGCCTAAGGAAAATAACTCCTGCAGACTAGCTTACATGGGAGTATTTACCAGCACATTCAAACTATGATCTCCAATGATGCCCTAAGTAAGTGCATTAAGTTAATGTTTTTTTGTAGTGTATTAAACATTCAATTGCTTAACAGTAGTTTTAACAAGTGAAGGAGTCAAGTTGTTCTGAGTGTTTTAAAATACCACACTCTGAAAAAGTGATAGGTAGATCACTTTGTTATACATGACTATCCTGGTTAAACCGCAAAAACTTTCCATACATTTCTGAAAATGGGAATCTTGAGAAATGTAACGGGCTTGATAAAATGTGAGTTTGATATGATTGATACCTACTTACTTGAGACTGACTCTGGGGTGACTGTGTTATTAGCACTTATTTATGTAGAGTGGAAGTGACGGTCCAGATTCTCAGTCCTCTTGATTATTGCTTAACTCATTCACCCCTGGAGACACATTAGAACTCTTCCAATGCAAAGGTTAGAGAAGTTAATTATGAAATTTCTGGGGTGAATGAGTTAATAAGGTTAAAACTTCCAAAATGGACTTTAACACTTCAAATTGTCTTCCTCGAGAATAATCCTCTAATAAAAGTACACATGGCTTTTTTCCTGTGATGAAAATATCTGAATTAAAGTACATTTACCTCATTTGTATTGAGTTTTAGAGTTGGAGTAGGTTAACAGAATAAAGCAGAAGGATGTCATTAGTACAGATTACAACAATTATATCAAACTTCATATAGTAACGTCACAGAGTTTAACTGTTGTTTTCTAAAAGATTTCATTGGTCACTCTATGGTCAGATAATGTTCACAGAGAGCTATGTTTTCTATTTTGATAAAAATACATCTTCTGGAAATTATATAATATCGAATGGAAAAAGTCCTGACTTTTATGATAAGCATTCAAGTCATATTTTCAAAATTTCTAACGGCCCTCTTAATAGAGGAGGCAGTGTTATTAGGTAGAATACGGTACGTAGGTATACAGTCACTATATGTGGGCTTACTAGAGTAGGCAGTGTTATTAGGTAGAAAATGGTACGTAGGTAAACAGTCACTATATATGGGCTTACTAGAGCTGGCAGTGTTATTAGATAGACTATGGTACGCAGGTATACAGTCACTATATGTGGGCTTACTAGAGTAGGCAGTGTTATTAGGTAGACTATGGTATGTAGGTATACAGTCACTATATGTGGGCTTACTAGAGCTGGCAGTGTTATTAGATAGACTATGGTAAGCAGGTATACAGTCACTATATGTGGGCTTACTAGTTCAGGCAGTGTTATTAGGTAGAATATGGTACATAGGTATACAGTCACTATATGTGGGCTTACTAGTTCAGGCAGTGTTATTAGGTAGAATACGGTACGTAGGTATACAGTCACTATATGTGGGCTTGCTAGAGTAGGCAGTGTTATTAGATAGACTACAGTACGCAGGTATGCAGTCACTATATGTGGGCTTACTAGATCAGGCAGTAGGTATACAGTCACTATATGTGGGCTTACTAGAGTAGGCAGTGTTATTAGATAGACTACAGTACGCAGGTATACAGTCACTATATGTGGGCTTACTAGATCAGGCAGTGTTATTCGGTAGAATACGGTACGTAGGTATACAGTCACTATATGTGGGCTTACTAGATCAGGCAGTGTTATTAGGTAGAATACGGTACGTAGGTATACAGTCACTATATGTGGGCTTACTAGAGTAGGCAGTGTTATTAGGTAGAATATGGTACGCAGGTATACAGTTACTATATGTGGGCTTACTAGAGTAGGCAGTATTATTAGGTAGAATATGGTATGTAGGTATACAGTTACTATATGTGGGCTTATTAGAGCAGGCAGTGTTATTAGGTAGAATATGGTACATAGGTATACAGTCACTATATGTGGGCTTACTAGAGCAGGCAGTGTTATTAGGTAGAATACGGTACGTAGGTATACAGTCACTATATGTGGGCTTATTAGAGCAGGCAGTGTTATTAGGTAGAATATGGTACATAGGTATACAGTCACGATATGTGGGCTTACTAGAGCAGGCAGTGTTATTAGGTAGAATACTGTACGTAGGTATATAGTCACTATATGTGGGCTTACTAGAGCAGGCAGTGTTATTAGGTAGAATACGGTGCGTAGGTATATAGTCACTATATGTGGGCTTACTAGAGTAGGCAGTGTTATTATGTAGAATACGGTACGTAGGTATACAATCACTATATATGGGCTTACTAGATCAGGCAGTGTTAT